GAGAGCTGCCGAACTTTCACGGGGACATCCAACAGACACAGCGGCGCGCACGGGACCGCGCTGACTTCGGATGCGAACAGACACAGCGGCGCGCACGGGACCGCGCTGACTCCGGATGCGAACAGACACAGCGGCGCGCAAGGGACCGCGCTGACTTCGGATGCGAACAGACACAGCGGCGCCCACGGGACTGCGCTGTTGACAGAGGTGAATGAACACGGTGGCGCCCGTGCTGCCGCGGTGGTCGTTAAAACCCCCAAATTCTCAGGTAAAGCTGATTGGGAAGCTTTTCACGCACAGTTTGAACTGTTGGCTCATGCTGGGAACTGGTCGGAGGACCGCAAAGCTCTTGAATTGGCTATGTGCCTTACAGATGATGCTCTGAACTGTTTGTTATTGCTTTGCCCTGAAAATAGACATGATTATAAGGCACTTGTCGGGGCACTGAGACGGCGTTTTGGTCAATTTGAACAGCCAGGGCTTCTGCGTTCCGAACTGAGTAATAGACGCAGGCAGCCAGGAGAGCAGCTGAGAGCCCTGGCAAATGACATTGAAAATTTGACTCGGCGAGCGTATGCCCACATGCCACCGTCTGTTCAAGGGGAGCTTGCGAGAGACCAATTCATCCAGGCCCTTATTCCTGTGGAGCTCCGTAGGCAGACACAGCTTGCCCACCCTCAGACCTTGCAGGATGCCTTGGAGATGGCGTTGGAGAGGGAGATTGTGTGGGGAACTTGCGTGCAGGATGAGAGACAACGAGATACTGTGCCGGTCAGGCCTGCTGACCTGGGGGAGGGGCTAAGTGAAAGACCAGCCTGGGTTTCGGAGATTACTGAATTGATTCGTGCTGTAGCACTGCAACCTGACCAACGACCTCGTGCGCGACCAAGGGTTTGTTGGGGTTGTGGGCAGGTTGGACATTTAGTTCGACAGTGTCCTAAGCTAGCCGGAAACCAGGGAAACGGGATGGGGTCCGCATGATCGGGGATGTGCGGACCCCCAACACTCATCCCCACCAGGGTTCATCATCTGCAGAAGTTCCAAGAAATGGATTACGGGAAGACGATCATGGACTGTTGGGGGAGGGAGATTGTGGGACAAATGAGTCTGTGGTTGTGGTGGGGCGAACATGTGTTAGTGATTTTTGTCATGTACCTATTTTGGTGGAAGGGGTGCCGTGTTTAGCATTGGTGGATACGGGATCGACTGTGACAGTGACAGTGATGAGACCAGATGTAGTTCCGGCAAATGCCAAGCTGGAACCCACCACTGTCCGACTACACACAGTGACGGGTGAACTAGCGCCCATGAAGGGTAAAGGAGAGGTGGGGCTGACGGTAGGGGGAAAGACATTACGCCATTCGGTGTGGGTGGCTACAGTACAAGACCCCT